AGCAATGTAACAAGAGTCTGGGCAGAGATGACTGTGAAGCTGGAAGGACAATGGCATATAAAAGGTTAGATTTGAAGATCTCATTAGCCCATCCTGCTTTAAAACCTACAAATCTATAAGAGGCTGTTTGGAGGTTCTTACAGAGCCATTACACTATTTCTTCCTATATTCTCTGCTCAGACAACTCTTTTAAAACAGGTGATAAACAACCAGCCTTCATTATCATTTGATTATATTACCCTTTGGATCAAATCCAATTATATGAGCATCTTCCTTCTCCAAACATCTCTGATTAGTTTATACCCTCTGAAATTATTCATTTCCTTAACTAATGTCCTCTTCCCTGGTAAACACTATATATTTACATACATCTCCAGTCTCATTAGCTTTGCACAGGCCAGAAGACACTTGTCCACCATCCAGCTTTAAGCAGATGCCAGGAGATTGCTCTCTGGGGCAAAGTGAAATGATTTTGCTGTCATTCTCAATGCTTTGTATATCTTTCTAAACAGCTCCCTCTATATACCTCTCTGTGCTTTTGATAATGTGTATTTCTCTATCCTTACCATGTTTATATGAAGCCTATTCCATAGAGATTTCCAAAAACATGGGAACAGTTAAAAGACCTAAATCCATATGAAATCCTGTAGAATTTGTTGCTTATTTTGCACTGCTGAGATTTCCCCAGAAAAGGTTTTAATGATGACATTGCCCCACATCCCTTTTTTCCTCATATGTATCAACCTACCAAGCTGTTATATGAGCACCAAATACTCGTTTCCATCAGGACACACCAAGTTAACTGAAACAGGTGAAACAAACTCAATCTAAGTTTACTGTATTATCTCTTCTCAGCCAGGAACTGAACCCTGGAAAATATCCTGGGTCTAATCTCTTTATGACAGAGGCTAAAGAGTCTTTGTTCCCCTGTCTTGTTCCAGCTCAACCTCCTTCTAACTCTAGAAGCTGCCTAGGTGCCATCACCAAGTAAAGAACCAAAGCTGGGAGCCCAGGAGCCAAGTATGTGCTGTTGATGGGGATTTGCCAGGACTGATGAACTCCAGCAGGGTATGTAGGTGGATGGATTTTTCTCTGAAGAAGGTCACCAGCCTGGCCAGAGGCATGGCTCTGGTTTTCCCCTGGAGTAGGAAAAAGCACACCAAGGTCAGAGAAGCACTCCTGAAGGTTGCATCAAGTCCAGCATTCTGGTGGCACTTCAGTGAGGAATTGCCCATACATTAGCAATGTCCCAGCATGGTTTATACATTGCCTGCAAAGCCTTTACTATCACCCTGGGGCTACCCAGCTCCCGTCTGTACATCTATTATAGCTCCACATTCATTTATAAATGCTTTCTTCTCTCTTGGCTGAAACCATCACCAGAGGAAAAGGCCTTTTCTTGCAGACATCTCATTTCTGCCTTGTCTTTTTAGGTGCAAACTGGGGAGGTAGGAAATTCTCCCATAGCTTCCAGATTTGGAACAAGCTGGAAAGCTGGAAACAAGCGCACAATGCTAATTTTCTAAAGAAGCTCAGATTCAAAGTCCTTCAAGGAGAGTTTGGTGAACACCGTAGCAGCATATGAAGTGACCTGTGCCCTGGGTGCACAAGCACTGAAGACTCCAGAGACCTCTGAAGTAGTGCTGAAGGACTATGGAAGGAGTCAAACCTAATGCAGACCTGGACACGTTGCCCTGGGAGACCTATGCCCAGAACAGTGTCTCTCTATGGTCCAGGAGAGTGCTAGTTGGCCTGGGCCAAAACCATGGCAGATTATGCCAATATTTGCATAGTATCTTCTATTTAATATCTTCATAAGTGATCTGGACAATGGGATCAAGTGTACCACAGTAAAGCACTCTTCAAACAGCTAATGGAAAGTGCAACAGAAGAGCAGAATAGCTTAAGGACTCATGCAGGCAGCTTCATAATATCTCAGCTTATCACAGCCAGGAATAACACTCTTCTTTTTCCCCAATGGGAGGGGGGGGGGGGAATTCTAATGCTTTTTCATTGTAAAATATATCGTGGCCAAAAAAAAAAAAAAAAAAAATGGAAGAGGAATAAGGATTAATTGCATGATCTTGTGTATCCTGGGGAGTTTTCAGATAAAGAACAGAGAAAAATATTCAGAGCAAATGAAGAGCCAATTAATGGGTAATTTGTTTGTATCATTTAGCAAGTCCTGTTGAGCACCTGGGGGATGCTATTGCAAGGGAAGCCAGGGACTAGTTCTCCTAGATGTAAGCAGACTAGCTTTCCTTTTTCTAAACCTCATGCATTTTGTATTACTTCCACAGGAGGAGAGATCACAGGTTCATGTCCCTAACTTCACCTTGCCTGACAGAACTAATTCATCTTATACATCTGTCAGGAGGCAATGGAAAAGAGGTCTGTTTGTTAGGTAAGGTCAGTCTCCCACTGATATCCTGGGATTCATCTTGGGGTTGAATTCTCCCCTGCATAAAGAGACAGACACAAGGAAGTCATCCTACCTATCTTACAGTCAGGGGGCAGGTCCCAGACACATCTGTTGTCTCCCTCCCTCCCTCTCCATCATATCTCCATTAGTGTATCATATATATCAATGTTTTTATATCTATCAGCTCCAAAACAACCCTCCTGCCTGAGCCCAAATGTTCCCCACAGACTGTTGTTAGTTCTTCAAGGCATGAAAGTGCTAACTTTCAGTTGAATAACTGATATTTTTTATTGTCCTGAAACCCCAGGCACAATCTGAATCCTTCATGTTCTCCTGCACATACTGTACTAGATGCTGTATGAATCCAGAGAAGAAAGACACCACTACCCCCAGGGTTCCTGAGCTCCAACAGCTTAATGCACTTGTGACAATACAATGACTGTAAATAGCAATGTGGGTATTATAACCACCCTATTTTCCACCCTATTGATAAGTCTCTACACAGTAAGGACTCTTGGCTCTCTGCATTTCCTCTCTTAGTAAATTATGTTTTCCTGGCCCCCTTCCATGGTGACAAATTGCATGAAGCCCCATAGGCACGTTCTCTTGTTTAATCAGAAGGCTAAGTGGACTCAGATGCCTGGCCTGAACTCAAATTATAACGCCTGTCAGCAGTTGATGTGCTGCTTTCCTAACAGTCAGCTCTCACTTCTTGACACATTGCCGGAATCTGGTAAAGCAGCAGTGCCTCCTGAAAACATTTGTTACACCCCCAGCAAGAAGCACCCCAAGTGACAAGTATGAGTCATTAGATGGAAGATCAGCAGACAGAAATGAATGCCTTTCTCAGTGAAAAAGAGCATCAAAACAAAAGAAAATTAATAAAAATGAAAAGCAGGGGTCTAATGTACTCACTGAGTAATTATAGCAACAAAAGCACGCACCAAGCTAAGAGCTTCTGTGGAAGGAAAAGCTGAATACTGAGATTCCAAGCCTATTTGCTGCAGATTTCGATTCTGCTCCATTTGCATGTAGGACATATAACCTGCCCAGAACTCCCCGCGTAAGAAGAAACCACATAGAGGCAAGTTTCCTGCATTTCCCCAGAGCCTTTAGAAGCCTTTCAGATGCACAAAATATGGGCTGGCTGGTAGCATTCTGCAGTCTTCCTGCAACCCAGTGTCCACCCACAGAGGGGTGAGAGCATAGAGACAGAGGGAAGCATGTGGCGACCATTTGCAGTTTCACCTGCAGGTTCATCTCCTCACTGAATTTGCAATTTTCACTTGCAAATCTCAGGAATTTCCTCTGCTTTGATAATGCTATAAGAAACCACTTGGATTTATGAGTTCCACTTTAGGAAGCATAGTGTTACTAATCCAGTGATTATAATCCCTTTAAATTGCCCCTGGATTAATCATGGGGAAAAAAGATAAGAAGGTGAATGGATTTTTTTTTTTTTTTATTTTGGTGTAGTTTTAAAACAGAGTTTCTAGCTATTAAATTTACTATTACATCTTTTTCATTCTGTGGCAAACTTCACTGTCCTGTCTTTATTCTAACTATGTTAATAATATCCTAATAGTACCTCAAAGGTGAGGAAGTTATATTAGTTGCTCTCACTTCCTGTTTGGCGCTATTGTTTTATGTTGCTATACACTGTGAAACACCATATCTCACCCAAAAAATCCTGCCAGTTTTCAAAAAGCTGCCATGTCTCTAAAAGAGCCCTTATTATCTGAGCTTCCTACCAGCACAAGTCAACCAAGCCTTTTCCTTTAAGCAGGTATCCCACATCTCAGGTTATTCAAGAGAAATGTCAGCCTTTATTTCAAATCAGTTTAACACTAAAAAATAAAATAATTCTGCAGCCACACTGAAATTCACTCAGGACAAGGTGTTCTGCTGGTGTGGAAAATAAACTAGCTGACTTCATCTCAGGAGGAAGCTGTGGTGCTGGAGCGTGTCCGTGTGTACCAGGACACATCATTACCCGATTAATGGCTAGAAAATGACATCTTGCAGAGCTAGAGATGGAATCTCTGCTGAGTTCCAGGGTGTTCATCTAGTGGGTTTCTCTCTCATCTGGCAACAATCCATAAATTGCCCTTGGGGAGAGCCTTTCCGCTAGCGTCAACAAGCAGTGTGTCCCGTCTTGCCCAGTAGAGTCAGGCTCATCTGAAAAAGTCAAGACGTGTTTTGTGCTATGCAGACAGCATCCAGGACAACTGGGAGTAAATGCCCCTCCTTTCAGGATCTCCAGCTCATGGACATGGAAGGCTAGCTGGGGTGGTAGAAAGAGAAGTGGTAAGAAGCAAGGATAGAGGAAGGGGCATCCCAAAGTCCCAGGTTACCTGGCTAGCAAAAACACTGCTGTCCCACCAGTTCCTTAACCCTAACAGAAATAATTGAGTGGAACAGACTGAATTGATTCTTGGATAGCTGAAGAAAGAAAGTGTGGTTTTGTCAAAGGAACAAAGGTGATCGATGGGGCTGTGGAGACCATTCTCAGAACAGTAAAGCACCATGGATGACAGCACCATGATCAGAAGGAGGGAGCCACAAGGGACTAGCCATTGACTGAGTGACGATGACCATTAAATGCTCTTGATCCTTGAGACTAAGTGAGTTTATTCATCCAGCCAGGAGTGAGCAGGAAAGCATCAGCTTTTGGGGTGAAGTGAGACACAACCAGCTGAGGACATGAGAATTAGCCTATAAAATATGGCTCTGAATGGAAATTTGAAAAAAAAGAAAAACGCGAAAGTCTGCATTCGTAAATATGTGCAAGGGAGCTTGGAAGAAAGGCAGGTGCAGAAATCAATTTGTTAGAGAGGAAACAATCTATTTTCAACCTGACACCTTAATATAAGCTCATCTGATGACTAAAACAAAGATACCAATGTGACCTGAGATGCTTTGTCTGCAGGTTCAAGTGACATCCTTGCTAAACTCCTCCAGGTGTAGTAACCCAGGAGAGAGCTTTATGGGTCAGTAGTCCCCTGAAACTTCAGAGCTTCCTCCTCCAGAAGCTCTGTGTCTCTGCCATAAATTACATCAGTAACGTCACTTCAGATTTGGTGGAGCATCACTATTCAAGAAGCTTTCAGCTGTAACAGTACAACTACATGCTGGACATGCTGTTCTTAAAAAAAAACAGAAAAAAACCCCAACCAACCAAACAAACAAACAACACTGAAAAAACCCCACCACTGCCAAAAAAAATAAAAAATAAAAAATCACCATGTAATTTTATGATATGCCAGTTGTATTTTCAGGATAAAAATGTACCTTGTAAATTGAAGGGAACCTATTTGATGTAAAATCTAGTGGAGGCAAGTTGATGAAGCTTTTCCCTGAGGGTGTTGTGTCCAACCTCAGGCAACTGCATCTCAGATACTGTAAAGTGAAAAGCAACCAGTGTCTTCTCTCCTTGAGGGCTTCAGAGTATGAGAGGAAAATGTGTTCAAAATACGTGTCCGTTTCCACAGTAATCTCTAGTTTCCAGCACTGCCCTCATTGTGATAGCTGTATTTTGTGTATTCATAGCATTGTTTTGAAATGAGAGTGCTTCTTTCTAATTCAGTTTGTTTATGTTTGCCTGCGAATGTGGACTAAGAAAATTCACAGATGTAGCATGCCATATCTGTTCTAGAAAAGAAAGCACATGCAGATGTCTTTTGTGATGGGAATGGAGACTTTCAGAGTAATTAAAAGCGATCCTTAATATACAAAACAGCCTCATTTAAGAACGAGCTCTTTTCTTGCAATTAGCCCCACAAAAATTAAAAAAAGAAAACCACACTTGCATTCACCACTCATTTAATTGGGAGCCTTTTTTTAAATGCAAGTTGTTTTGCTGCTACGTTTTCTAGATCCAAGTGTTCTGATTCTCTGCAATTACATACAATTACTTGATTAGATGTGAGGCAGACCTAGCCTTTTACTGGTATCACAGCTTTCATAATTCACATGGTTAAAATGAGTTAAACAACATTAATCACTTCAGACTAGATACTCAGAGCAGGAAAAATTGACCAAGTTACCTTGACTTTAGTAAAGTTGCACAGAATTATATTGGGCTGAAAATCCAGTACGGGTACGATGGCATGATTAAAAATCAGATGGTACATAAAAAATCAGAGGCTGTTTGGACTGCTGTGTTTAGCCTTTGCCCTCCTTGAATTTGCCTCATTGTTTATTATCAGAATTATATCATTAACATTATTGGATTACCAGATAAAGTCCTCTCTTGCAATGAGCTGTAATAGCTAAACCATCTGTTTGTAAGTATTAAATCAACGTGCTGAGTCATATATCTACATTTGAGCATCCAGACCATTAGAGAGACATTACAATATCTCCTTTAACCTTTCCAATGATCTAAAATTTGTTGTTCTTTAGTCATGGCACTCATAAGACAAAAAAGGCCTTTCCTGGGCCCATGGAGAGAAGCCCAGGTGATGGGTGTATAAACAGCACATTTCCATGACTAAACCTCACCCATCCATTGCTGGAGAAAGCCCAGGTTGTGGTGGAACCCAGTTTTGATGTGGTGGCACCCACACAAAGTGGTGTCTCATGAATTCCCCTGAGGCTGCTGTCTAAATATCTCCAAAGAGTAATTCAGGGTGGAAACATGGAAAGCATGGGAAACAGGGAAAGCATTCATGTTCTGGTTTGTCTCCTGGAGAGTTCTACCTGTCTGTCCAGGTGTCCTGCTGAGAAAGGCATCCATCCTGGCCTGGAGGATTAAACTGGCATTTCTACAGTCATGTCATTATCATCTGACCTGCTACTGAAAGGCAGCCACCTCTGGAGGGAGAAAAATACAACTAGTTCAATAATCCACAACCAACTTCACTCAGGGCTTTGGGTGGAGGAGCAAAATGAAGTGACAAGCTGCGAAATACTGACCAAAAAGGTAAGATGAAATTGCATTCAGTGGGAAATATAAGTCTTGCTTTCAGCTGGACTTGCTGGGATGAATGAGCTGGGATGAATGAGCTGGGAAAATTTAGCCTTTTCTGTTCTCTATTTATACTAATGAGGTATTCAAACTATTTTTGCTTGTGTTTTAGGGATGTCTTTTTTTAATTAAGTCAGGTTTTGGAGCCTTTTTGCCTTGGGGTTCTTGAGTTCTTTAGCTTTTTGCCTGTCTTAGTCAAGGGGACTTTTCATTCCTCCACATATTGGTTTCCCAACAGTAAGGAAGGACTAACCAGCCAACAAGGTCCTATCCCTCCTGTCACAAGCAAAAGTACCACCATCCTTTTCAAAACTGACTGAGCTCCATGCGATGAGTGGCCGCAATCTGTCCTTGGTTGCTTTTCACTGAACCTGTTCCAAAACATCCATTTCCTACACTTTAGAGACCTTCTAATTGCACCCCTGAATTGATCTGTTTATCTTCATTTGCCTTTGTTTTGTCATTGTCCCTGGACTTAAATAATTTTCTTTCTCACTGATCTTTGTATTAAAAACCACAGCAATTATATCACCACCCCGCACTGGTTTTGCTAATCAAAACTGATGTCTTCCTCAGTTTAGCCCTCTTCTTTTTTTACCAGATCTTATATTGTCAACTCTGTGCACCATTCCCACTTCAAAGGCATCTTCCTTGACCACACAAAACAGTGAGAACGAGACACAGGAGCCCCAGACACTTCTTTCTTATGGGACCTGTGTTTGACAGAAAGATGCAGTCCAGCAATGACTAGACTACATAGATTGCCCCGAAACTTCTTCGGACCAGACAGAACCTGGTCCACCTCAGTCTTTTATGTCCCACCATCATTAAAAAAACAACACACAGGCAATCTCACCACGCCAAGCCTGAGCTATGGCCCAGCACAAGGACTCCAACCACACTTACATGGCTGTCCAGAAGCCATGGTGATATTTCTTCATGGCTCATCGTCTACAGCAGAGTGGAAAATGCCAACAAGCACATGTAAACAAGGCCTCCCAGTGGTGCCTCAGCTGCTCCTTCAGCCTGGCTGTTCACAGGCGTTTCATCCCATACCTGCCTTCACACAGAGCCAAGCATGGACCATTGGCGGTGGGTACACTGCTTGGGTTGTAAAGGTCAAGTTAGCCAGTGGCCACGAATCTTCATTATTGGGAAAGTATTCTTTCCTGGCTTTCTTTCCCTTTTTCTGCATAACAAGATTTGCCAAGTCTCTATCCTGCCCAGAGTGTTTCCAGGGGCTCCATACAGTAAACAGGCACACTCAAGGTCTATCAAGCTGTATTCTAATTCAAGCAGTCAAGATCTTTTCAGCTCCTTCCAAACTGAATCACATCACACTTCATTCTTCCCTCCTGGGCAGCCCTGGCTCTCTCCCCTTTTCTTTCCCTCTCTTTTGCCTCGTGTTCTCTGCAGAAGGGAAGAAACATCTGTTCCTCCCCTGTTTACAGCTTCAATGACACTCTGCTTCATGTTTTTCTCTTGGCCAAACCTGTACCACTTCACACACACACAAAAATACGGTCAAGCATGTTTTTCTAAACAGGACAAAAAGTACAAATATTGTCCTTGGAGACACACAAGCACATGAAAACACATGAGACAAGGTCAGTTGTTAATCCCGTAATTACGCCTCCTGCTCCTTAAGAGCAGCATTGTCTTCAAACTCACTGGGGATGGGCACTGTGGCTGGGGAGATGCTAGCAGGAGTTGGAAGTCAGCTGTGAGGAATTAAAAAATCAGCAGAGGCAGGAAGAGCTAATAAGCTTTCCACAGAGGTCTTGTGGTTTTAGGCACTGGCCCCAGTTCAGCTCAGCACATGCTGTGCTCAGCACGTGCTTTGCTGCAAAGCAGAGGAGTTTGGGACATTTAACAGCATATTGTGATTTCTGCAAGCACTTTGCAGACATGCCCTCTCTGAAATTTCCTTCAATACCTGTCCTTTGCATCTTTTCCATTTCACAGACAGACCATTGCTTCAGATAAAGACAAGCTCTATGTCCTCTCTTAGTCCTCAATGCATCTGGCCAGCTTGATATGGGATCAACCAAGCCCTTACACTGGGAGAAAAAGGTCTGGGTTGTAAGTGGAGCTGCCACTGAATCAGAGCTGTGGTTAGAGAGGTCTCAAACATCAGGGAGAGTCCTTGATTAAACCCATAGCAGTCAGGGAGCATTTCCACATTCTTTCAAGTGCTGCCTAGACCTGCTGGTACCAAAAGACCATCTTCATTAAAATGAAAACCAAGGGTGTACCCTGAAGCTTTTGCCCCAACATCCACTGGCAGATACTACTCATAGGTCCTGATCAGAGTACAAATGTACAGCTTATCTTCCCTCAGCTACGCTGAAGTACCTGCCCATGGGTATCTAAAGGGCCTCAGCAACTTCCCTTGAACTCCCTCTAGATTTGAGGGGGCATGACTGTTTAGGTGAAACCCAGCAAGAATTTGCAGTTGTTGGAAGTTCCTGTTTGTGAGGGTGAAGGGGTTTGTCCATGCTAGGACTTCCTCCAAGCTACTCTCTTAAAACTGCTTACTCTGCAGGAAACAAATACTTTAGCAATCCTTTCTTTCTCCTGGCTCATTTTCCTCCACAATTCCTCTTGCACGAACAACTAAATGGAACAAATTCATAGACCTTTTTTTTCCTAAGGCAACAAGGGACCATTAGATCATTCGAGATTAATTTCCCATATAACACAGTGTTACAATACAGGGTTTTCCTTCAGCAATCAGTTGAATCCCTCCTATCTGTTTTTCATCAGAGAGGCACTGTTTAGTGCTTCCTGGGAGACCTCCTCTCTTTTTCCTAGTATTTGACACGACTAATCTCTTTGGCAATCCTTGCAGATGACTGTGAAACAGACCTCTCTTCCCAAACTTTTCTGAGCTTCTGGAGCCCCAGAAAGTTGTTTCTGTAGTGCTGAGGGCATGACAGCTCTGTGAAAGGGAGGTGCAGTTCAGATTCAATGAGTTTGGTCCATGCATGGGATGGAAACAAGAAGTTCTACATGGGCAAAGTAGAGGCCTGTGCTCCTGATTACAAAAAGGGACACATGGAGGAGAAAGAAAGTGCAAAATCTCATTGGAAATCAAAAAAAAATTGGAGAAGGCAGTAAGATGGTGTACACATATATAGGTCCACACATATGTCACACACAGACAACCCCTGCCAGGTCCCCCTCTAAACACTTATCCAGTCTGGGTGTCCCTTTCTTATAAAAAAAACCTACAATAACAAACCAGAAGCAGGGATGATGTGATTTCATCTCCCCCTGCTTTTGAGCTGTTTTCAGCGAACTATGTTTGTTTGTTTATTTTACTCTTTCGAGTGCATTTTAAGGCGTTTTTTTTTACGGGGGCTTGGATTTCAAAAGGCCTCAACAGATCCCCCTTTAAAACCAGACCATTAGTTCCCTCCCAGCTCCCCACCCTCGCCCTCTGTGGAAGAATATAAATATACAAATTAGTAGAAAATCTAAACAAACATACTTGTTATTCTGGTTTAAACTCTTCAGGAATATGTTAAATTCTTCATGCACAGTGCAAGCAGCAGCCTGACTAATGCTATGCATGCACTAGTCTCAGGGTGTTCCTCTTGAGATCACTGTGATGTCGTATGTGGGCTTTGATGCATGCATACTAATAATGAGGGGGCAAAGGGGTGTGTGCATGCGCCTGCGGGTGAAGAAGAGAACACAAAAATGACCCATGTTCATCTCTGTCACTGGCACAGCACAATAAAAAGGCTGAGGCAGTCAGAAAATCCCATTTTAGGGGCTTGGTGTGGGCAGCAGAGAGAAACCCCAAAAGGTCTGATCCAGTCCTTGTTGGCGTCAAAGCAAAAGTCACCCTTTGGTTTTCGTCAACTCCAAAGCAAGCCCTCAGGACATGGGTCCACAGTCCAGGAAAAATGGGAAACAGGTTGCAGGAACCAAAAATGATTGGGGGGGGGGATAAAAAAAAACACAAAACAAACAAAAAAAAAACAAAACCAAACCAACAATCAAACAAATAAGAAAAAAAAAAAATATCATCTGTTTGAAGCATTAACCCTCACTCAACTGTAATACCTTAATTCCCACAGATCCCACTGATCTTCTTGGCTCAGTCCTTCCCTCACACTAAACATGCCTGTATGTCATGCACACAGACCCTCTCCCCTCTGTCTTAACCCCCAACCCATGTCCTCCCTACCTGGATGCTCATCCATGTCTGTCCTTGGTGGTCCTCCACTGCTGCAGATGGAGCATCACACTTCACTCATAAAAGAGAAATAGCAATATGTTTGTTGATGTAAAACAGGGATTTGACAAAGATTGTTAGTAAATAGGATAGTGGTTTAACAAGATTCAATGGCCAGGTGCACTTGAGTATTTACTGCATAGAGTGCAGTGTCAGGCAAAACTGTCAGGGAGACCCTCCTGCTGAGTCGTAAGGTTCAGAAAGGACCCTTGAGCTCTAAATTCCTTCTCAGAGAAGAGTCTAGATGTGGCTGGATCCAGACTTAGTCTCAGACTTGGTTAAAACTTAATCCCAGATTTGGTTAAATCTGGGGATTCCTATATCCACCCAGCCGTGATTGTGCCAGCCCTGCTGCAGCTCAGGTTCAAAGTGTGCCTGCCTGAGAAGGATACCCAAAGCTCAGGGCTTGAGAAGAGCTCCAGCTGCTCTGTGAAGATGGCTTGGCGAAGAGCACAGCCTGTTTCTACCGTGATCCCTCCTACTGGAGGGACACAGGAGAAGCACTGTCTGCTTCTTCCCTGGAAGGAAGATGGGAAGATGGCTTCTTTCCATCCTTGGAGATCTTGACTTTTTCAGCCACCATCCCAGAAAGCTCCCTTCCTGGTAGCACTCCCTGCCCACTGAGGAGTGCCAGGAAATAATGATTAATTAATGTTCATGCTTCATGAGTGTGAACAGTGTAAATCCTGTCAGTTCACAGCTCTTTGCTCACATTTCCTTATGATCCTCGAATCCAAGATATCTATGAGTCCCTGGGAAAGAAATGAAACACCTAAAACATCTCCCCTTAGACCGGGTAGCCTCCACTCTTTATAGTTTTATATCCATTCCCTTTTTAACTGCTTTCTGCCCCAGGATCCTCAGTATCCAGGAAAATGGATGTGTCTCTACTGCTCTTCCACTACCCATGTTCTCTGAAAAGGCCCCTTGTCCATGTTAACTGCCATATACAGAGTGTGTGAGCTGATGGAGAAAGCCAGAACAGCTGGTACTCACGAGCTGACACACAGTGGTGCAGGGGGAGGTAGATGTGGGCTCCTGACCTAGACAGGCAGCAGTTCAGCCGGGTTAATTTCTATATAAACACTTCTGTTTATGTAGTGGTTTCACCTAAAAGGCCCAATTTCATAGGTATGTTTGTGGATTGGTAACTATATCTACCTAAAATCTATCAAAAGAAGTGTGGTGGTTTTCTCCTAAAAAAAAAAAAATTAAAAAAAAAAATAAATTTAAACGAAGTGGCCTTCAGTGCTGCCCAGGCTCTAATTGCAATGGCTTTGCTGAGTCCATAGCTCTGACCAGCCAGCCAAGCCTGCAGTGGAATAGAGCCTATCAAGGCAGAGCCTTTCAGATCTGCTTCTGCCTGTCAGCACACCTATCCTTGGCATGGTAACCTGGAGCTCCATCCACTCTTGAGACAACTGTGATACAGCTGAGGGAGGATGCCCCCACCCCAGACCAAGGACATCATACATGGATGTTTATGGGCACATGCTCTGAATTTCTCAACACAGAAAAAATTCATGAGTACAAGCAGGTCAGCTGTCTTTTCTTGGACCTTTTGTTTCAGCTTCTCTGCAGACTCAGGGTTGGCATCTAAGGCCCTATTTCAGAATGAAATCTGAGGTGGATCCTCTGCAAGTCATTTCTGACCTGGGAGTCTCATGGTGCACCACCTCCCTAGGACTATTCATTGTGTTTACCTGTAGCAGCCCATGATTTAAGCAAGCAGGAGAAAAGAGGAGGAAAATGACCAAATGACAACTGCAGTTAGTCTTTAAAGTGTATCTGTGAGGTGGAGCTATAGAAACTAGAGATGAATAAACCATTTTAGGCAAAGGAATCACGCAAGCCATGACACACAGAGTAATATAACCAAGGAAGCTGTTGGAGCAAAGAATTGACAGTCTGAAGTAGGATGTATACTAATGAAAAGTCCTAAAGGCTGCTGTATTCCCTTTTGAAGGTCCTCAGATGGAAATAACTGTGCGCACAGTAAATGCATCACTTTGAAGACCAGCAGAACTTTCTTTACATGCTCTGAGCAAGCTCCCAGTGAATATGTGCTTGATTAAGCAACTGCTTCTCCAAGAAGAGAAGATATGTGAAGAGAAAAGGAGGACACAACAAAGAAAACAAAAATGCAGGGTACTTTTACCTGTTCTGCAGCTTGGGGCACCATTAGAAGAGTGCAAACGGTTTTCTAGGCAGAAAACTGTCCTACCACTTGTTTCTGGGGGCTTTTCTTCATGTCCTTTTGCCATGAAGAGCACTTTCCTGTTGCAGAAGACAAGGCTTACCCAGTCAAACAGGCATCTCTGTGAGACATGGTTGCCTTGGGCTCCCTCTCCACTGAAGGGACGTGTACTCAGCCATGGGTGTGATTCATCTCACCCAAAGAAGACATTGAAAACAGATCAAATATGTGGTGTCCTAAGAATTACGCATTTCTTTATTGCCTACAGAAGAAGTCTAGGTTGACAAGCTCAGCTGGAAATATCTAGACTGAGATGAGATCAAGCTGATCCCCAGTGACCAAGATCTGCTGAGGTCTGTCTTTCGAATCTCACACCTTTGAGAACCTGAATGCTGTGACAGCTGAAGGATAATCCACATTCCACTCCAGCTTTGCAGATCAGTTCAGGCTGAACAAAACTCATCCCCTTGGGGCAGCTTTTGAAGAAAAGCAAACTGCCAGTATACATTCTTTTCCTATCAAATGCCAGGGTATCCAGCAGATAAAAAGGACCCTGTCTTTATTGTTCTGAGATACATTAGATAAGCCTGGTGAGATGATCACCTCTGGAGGTTGTTCCTGCAAGCAAGACCCTTTAGAAGGCTGGAGGATTTTTACTAGTGGTGTTGAAAGAGAGGATTTGAACCCTGACCTAACAGAAATAGACCCATTGCTAATCCCACAAACCCTACAATGCTATATAAAGCTTACAGTTTTTAAAGCTGGAAGCCAGGGAGATGAAGGCTTCATGTGCCTCTTCTCAGTAGACACAAACCAAGGAGAGTAAAACCTATGGTAGAATGAAGGAATTGCCACGGGCTTGTGAAATTGGGCATTTTGTTTTTTTTTTTTTATTCCATCTTAATAAATTTGGTGTGAAGTGAAATAGAATTACTTGGCTCCACTGCTGTTCCGGCCGGTTTATTTATTTTCATAAACCTAATATGAAACCCAAGTCCAATTATAACCTCCTTCCTTGTGCTCTCCCCTCCAGCCTCCACCCAGAATAAATCACAGTCCTGGTCTTTATAACAAGAATGTGAAACCACAACTCTGCTCCCCTAAACTGAAAAAAGAAACAAAAACCAAAAACAAAACCAACCAAATAAAAAATTTTAAAAAGCTGACATGAGCCAATCAAGCAGGGGGAAAAATGCTGACAAAATTAGCACAAATGGTACCAATTACCATCTCCAGCCTTTGCCAACCACTAAATCATCCATATAGAAACTAACTTCACACCTCATCTTGCTGCTGGGGATGTAAATGCAAGTCCTGCATGCTAGCTGAAATCCCAGCAACTCCAATTTTCCCCTTTCCAGGTCTAGCAAGAAGTCTGCACGTTTGCTTGCTGGAAGCAACAGTTTCACCCTTTCCAGTGCAATCCAGAAAAGTGGTGATCCTCTCCTGCAGCATCATTAACACTTCAGCTTGGATCCTGAAAACCTTTCCATGCAAAGGCTGGTGAGCTTGTGTGCACACAAGGAGCTCCAATTCTGTGGAGGGACTAACGGAAATCAAATGCCCAATGAATGGATGAAAATATAGCTGTGTGAAAGCATGAAGGACATAGGCCAAGGAGGCTTTTAACTGACTTTCAGTGAACTGAACTTCTACTGAACTTGGCAGGGTGCAAACACAGATTAGGACTGGCTCTGCAAAAGGCAGATGCATCAAAGAAACTACAAGAAAGTATCAGTCAACATCAAAGGCAGTATTTAGTCTCATATCCAGCAGCCCAGCTGCAGTCTGTCTACTGGATCTAGGCAAAGGATACTTTTGAGGATTAATTTCATGAAATAGGTACAAAACACTTGCAGGACAAGGAATTCAGGCACAGAGCAAGCATGCAGAGAGAATGAAAGAAACCCACAGTTGCAAATAGTTTGGTTACCAAATGTGAGCTACTGCACAGTGTCTGAGCTATGATCTCCCCCTTTAGAAGATGCAAAGCAACTCAAAGCAGGTCCTCTCTCACAGAAAGAGTGAGAAATTGCCCATCTTCTCCATACATGCCAGGAGAAATGGGTGTCCATGATGGAGGTCATTCCAAAGCTGCAGATGTGTGATAACTTATTAAGCTCAAGATAAAGTGTACCTGGAGCAATGCCTATACACATATAATAGAATCATAGAATCCCAAGTTGGAAAGGACCTCAAGGGTCACCTGGTCCAACCTTTCTAGGCAAAGCATGATCTAGACTAGATGGCCCAGCACTCTACCCAGCTGAACAATGAAAGTGTCCAGCATTGGGGAATACACCACTTTCCTGGGGAGATCATTCCAGTGGCTGGTTGTTTTCATGGTGAAAAATTTTTCTCTTGTGTTCAGTTGGGATCTCCCCAGGAGCAGGTTGTACCCATCACCCCTTGTCTTTTCCATGTGATTCCTTGTAAAAAAAAGAGTCTTCATCTTCTCTGTAGCCATCCTTTAAATATTGGAACACGGTAATAAGGTCTCCCCTGAGCCCTCTTTTGTCAGGGCTGAATAACCCCA